AAAAAAAAAAAAAAAAAAAAAAAAAAAAATTGACCCTTTTTCTAATTTTGGATCTTAAATTCAGAAGCTGTACTTGATCTTTTTGTGCTATCAAGATGGGGGGGCAATCTAGCAAGATGGTTAGTGTTGAATCCCCGACAACGGTTAAAATGGGTACCCATTCTCTGTATGCTGCTGATTTGAGCTCCTATGAAGATGCATGTGTTAAAGATCCAAACTTGCAAAGCTTTGATGCGAGCATTCAGGAGCATACCAACAGGGTGATTAGTTCCCTTGCTCATGGTGTCGAGGTCAGATCCTTATCTTTTGACTCACTCAGAGAAGTCACTGATAGTCTGCTTGAGATGAACCAAGAAGTTGTCAAAGTTATTTTGGATTGCAAGAAAGATATATGGGGCAACTCAGAATTGTTCTCCTTGGTCAATGATTACTTTGATAATAGCCTTCAGACTTTGGAATTCTGTAACTCCCTTGAGAAATGCTTGAGGCGTGCACGCGAGAATCAGATGATTGTGAAGTCTGTGGTTACCTACTTTGAGGAAGAGGTGCAAAATGGGGCTGAAGGGGTGGCTTATGTGAAGACATTGCAAGAGCTTAAGAAGCTTAAGGATGCCGGGGACCCCTTTACTGAAGAATTTTATCAGTTGTTTCAATCCGTATACACACAGCAGGCGTCAATGTTGCAGAAATTGCAAGTCAGGAAGAGAAAGCTTGATAAGAAAATGAAGTCCCTCAAGACATGGAAGAGGGTGTCAAATGCCATTTTTGTGGCTGCTTTTGTTTCTGTCTTGATTTTCTCGGTGGTGGCGGCCTCTATCGCCGCCCCGCCGGTAGTAACTGCCTTGGCTGCTGCATTGGCTGTTCCAATAGGGTCAGTAGGAAAATGGTGCAACTCTCTCTTCAAGCGCTATGAGAAAGCTCTGAAGGGACAAAGGGAAGTCATCAGCTCAATGCAGATTGGTACTTACATTTCATTGAAGGACTTGGACAACATTCGAGTACTTATCGACAAGTTGGAAGTAGTTATTGAGTCATTGTTGCAGAATGCTGATTTTGCTCTTATAAATGAGGATGTTATGAAGTTTGCAATCGATGAGATCAAGAAGAAAATAGAAACATTTTCAGAGACTATGGAGAATTTAAGTGCTCATGCTGATAAATGCAGTCGACAGATAAGGAGAGCAAGGACTGTGGTTATACAAAATATAATTAAAAAACCATAGTGTGATCCCTTTGGAATGTTTCATTGATTACTTTCTCTTGCTGGCATCTTCCTTTGCTTCAGCCAAGTAAGCACCACGATTATAAGTTTATCACCTCAATGAGATGCCTTATAAAGAGAAATGAAGATACAAATTGTGCAGAACATTTCTGTACTTTCTATGTATAGATATTTGGATTATACATGGTTACAAATATGTTTGTTGCTTAGTTGTTTCTTTTTCTAATTATTGCTGATGCAATTGAAGAACATAAATGAGTAAATAATAGTGAAATCATGACAGGCTCGTGGAAGTGATGGAACAAAGTCCATGATTGCAACCTACCTTAAGGTTGGGATAAAATAAATATATTGGAGCAGCTTCATGATTAGGAGATGGATAAATATCAATTTCTAAAGGTTGAGATTGAGATCCAAAGAAAATATAAAAAAAATTCCCCCAAAATTGTTGATATATAACAAACTAGTTCTGATATCTACGCTCTCAAGTTAAGCTGTGCAACATGTAAAAAACTCTTTAGAGCTACCATTTGTTTCTCAGTTTCTATTTCGGCACATGGATATGAATGTACAACTGCTTGCTTGATGGTATTTAAGATTCCATACCCAAATCGAAAAAAGACCATTCTTTATTGTACACACTTGTTTTAAGAGGATAGCAGCGATCAATGTGAAAACTAAACCGAACATTGAACTGGTAAGAGCACCAATTGAAAGTTTAATAGTCTAATCGTAGTTGAATCAGAAATAATTAAATAATATTTTTAAATATTACAATATATTAATTAGCAATATTAAAAAAAAATAACTTGAGGCAAGGGTCAACTTTGTCTTGCAATTGTTTTTTTTTTCTTTCAAAAATTTAAGATAATCGTGCTTAAAATGAATAGAAGTTCTAATATTCTACATGTAAACATACGAGCTAACATTATAGAGGCATAAGGTTGGGCTTACAGATAACATTGAAGTTACAAATAAATAATTATTAAAAAAAGATAACATTGAAGTTTCAAGCTTAGCTACAAAATAAAAATAGTAATACATTGGCAAGGTGTTGCATAGTTAAGTGCATTTTTTTTATAAGCAGGAAAAATGAATGTATTATAAAACTTAAATAATTGTATATACATATATAAAATAAAGTAGTGAATGAAATACGGAATTCACAAGGAAAAAAAATTATTATATATTATATATTAGGTGTTGAGCTTTTTTTTCTTTTGTACATGAAGCTTCATATTTAATATATAGATGTTGATTTATTTATTTTTTTTGAGGAAAAGAAACTCAATGCATTTCATTCATAATAGAAGTAGCAATACAAGTGGGAATAAAATCAAAATAATGGGGACTAGCATACAATCTTGATACCCTCGCTAGTGTGCGGGCAACATGATTTGCTTGTCTCCTAACAAACCTAACCTCAAGGTTCTTGTGTAAGGCTAAAAGAGAACGTCCTTTATAACTAAGGCGACCATACTCAGAGAAGAGGCTTGTGGAGTCATATAGATCATCCACAACCTTTTTACAATCAAGTTCAATCAGGACTTTCTCATAATGGGAGTTTGCTAACCAAGTGATTGCCTCTAAGCAAGCCATGGCCTCAGCTTCATTTGGTGGTAGGGAGCCGTTATACCAACCCGTAGTAGCAGCTTTGAATCTTCCTAGATCATCTCGTATATAAAAAGCGAAACCACAACAATTTGAGTCGGTAAAGATCGTTACATCCACATTGCATTTCATGTATTCTGGTGGGGGTTTGAACCAACAGATTGGATCATTTCTTGCTACCTTTGGTATTTGTTGTGTTTCTCTAGCAGACATCCACTCTGATATCCGTTGTCGTGCAAGGAAGATAACTGTATGAGATGGAGTCACCTTGTTATTCCATAGTATGTCATTTCTCTTACGCCAGATGCCCCACATCAAACATAAGAGATCAAGTGCTTCCGAGGGAGACAAACATTGGAGCAACTGAAATATAGCTTGTTGTATTCCATCACTATCAGCAATTATTTGAGAAATCTTAGGCCAAAATCCTGATGCAGCCCATATATCCTTTGCTTCCACGCACTCGAAAAAAATATGCCATTCATTTTCAATACCTGCACTGCATGTGGGACAAAGCATAGTGCATGGCACGTGTCGGCGTTGAAGATTCAGTCTTGTGGGTAGACATCCTCGCAGTACTCGCCAAAGGAATATCTTCTTTGTGTTAGGGGCTTTCATGCTCCAAAGCATGCTCCAATTACCTGGTATTCGTAAGTCAACATTCGGGGTGAGATGTTCCATTAACTGGTAGTATGCGGACTTAATAGTGTACATACCATTTCTAGTATGCGACCAAGAGATCATATCAGAATCTTGGAGATGAAAAAGTGGAATAGCTTGAATAACTTGATTGTCTCTTTGGTTACAGAGTGCCGAGAGAATAGTGGTATTCCAACGCCCCATATTGTGGTCTATAAGATCCTTCACTTTAAGGTGATCAAGTCCAGATATAGTAGGAGAGGATATAAATGGATTTGATGATAATCTCAACCAAGGATCTGTCCAAACTTTAATACTAGAACCAGATCCGACACACCAACGGACTCCTTCCTGGATGATAGCTTGTGACTCATGGATGCTACGCCAAACATAACTCGGGTTGTGGCCTAATCGAGCCCCCAAAAAATACCCTTGAGGGAAGTATCTTGCCTTGAAAATTCGCGTGAAGATAGCATCAGGGTTGGTTAGTAATCTCCAACCTTACTTTCCAAGCATGGCTAGGTTAAAGCCGTGGAAATTTTGAAATCCGAGACCACCGTATTCCTTACGTACAGTTAGTTTCTCCCAATTTAGCCATTGAATGCCTCTTCCGGACCTACTGTTAGAACCCCACCAAAAAGAGTTGAGCATACGTTGAATCTCTTCTTCCAAGCTGATCGGTATCAAGAAAGCGCTCATGTAATAGGCAGGGATGGCCTGCACAAAAGATTTGATGAGAACTTCTCTGCCTGCCTTTGATAGGTGCTTACCAGACCAGTGTTGAATGCGTTTCCAAATATGATCCTTAATTGAGCTAAAAAGGGCCTTCTTGCTCCTGCCAATCATGGACGGTAGGCCCAAGTATTTACCAGTGCCTAAGCACTCAGTGACTCCAAGGATAGACTTGAAAGCGGTCCTCACATTCATATCAGTGTTGCAACTGAAGAAGATTTCTGATTTTTATAGATTAATGGACTGCCCTGATGCTTGTTCATACTGTTGGAGGACATCCTTAAGCGTGTGACCTTCATCAGTTGTGGCCTTGCAAAATAAAAAGCAATCATCAGCAAATAAAATATGTGTGAGTGGGGGTGCTCCCCTACAAACTTTAACTCCGTGTAGGATGCCACGTGCCTCAGCTTGTCTTAGAAGTAGCGAAAGGCCTTCAGTACATATTATGAATAGATAGGGGGAGAGCAGGTCTCCCTGTCTTAATCCTCGAGCTGGTGTAATAGGGCCAATGTTATCACCATTTACGAGTACATGGAATTGCATTGATGAGAGACACATTTGCATCCACCTGACCCATTTGGTACGGAAGCCCATACGATTCATACCAGCTAGTAGGTAAGCCCAATTTACCCTATCGAAGGCCTTGCTTATATCTATTTTTAATGCCACATGACCTTGCTTTCCACGTGTCTTGCACTTTAAGTAGTGTATGATTTCATTTGCAACCATTACATTGTCCAAAATTGATCTATTTTCCATAAAGGCAGATTGTTCAGGTGAAATGCAAGCAGGAAGTAAAGGTTTCAAGCGGTTGGCTAGGACCTTCAATATGATCTTGTATATGACATTGCATAGGGAGATAGGTCTGGGGTCTTTCATGGAGGTTGGGTGCTCAATTTTTGGGATGAGAACAATATTTGTTTGACTTAGCTGGTGAGGGAGAGAGCCTTGCTTTAGCCATTGGACACACGCGTGGAATAGTTCAAGACCCAGGAGGTCCCAAAATATTTTATAAAAACCTGGGTTAACACCATCAAGACCTGGAGACTTGTTATCATGCATGGAGAATAAGGCTGATCTAAATTCAGTGATGCTAAAGGGCTGGAGAAGGGCATCATTATCAGATTCGGAAATACAGTGAGTGACGTTTTGTAATACTGGGCCGAATGAACTTACTTTGTCCTTATATAGGTCCTCAAAATAGGTATGGGCCACCTTACAAATACCGGTTTGGTCTGTAGCCATAGATCCATCATTGCGGGTAAGATGTTGGATGAGGTTGTGCTTGCGACGAGAGCTTGCGATTGCATGAAAAAATTTGGTGTTACAGTCACCATCTTTGAGCCAATAAATTTTGGAGCGTTGTTTCCAGAAAGTCTCTTCTTGTATAAGCAAGGTGTAAAGGCGGGTTTGGACCTCTGAGAAGCGTGATGCTGATTGGGAATCTTGCCTGTCTCGTAATGTGAGGAGTTGGCATCTGCAAGCTTCTATTGGTGCTCGAAAGCGTGACCGAAGCTTTTTGCCCCATGCATCCATTTCAGTGGCAAAATGTTGAAGCCTAGAGATTATATCAGGGAAGTTTAGTGTATTCCAACTTTGTTCAGCCAACTTTGGAAGGTCTGGTTCAGACAACCATGAGTTTTCAAACTTGAATAAGTGTAGGGTCAGTTAATATGCTTCCAGGCAAGCTTAAGATGTATAGGGGAATGTTCTGATCGCGCAACTATTGCGTTTTGAAGTCAACAATGGGGGAAGAGGTCCAACCAATTTTGGGTTACCAGTGCTTTGTCTAAACGTTCCTCGACTTGATGCGGGGAGCCCTTGCTCTTCACCCAGGTGTAGTGATAGCCCTCAAGCGGGAGGTCTAGAAGGGCAGCGTCCATGACAGTGGTTCTAAAGCCATGAATCAACCAGGAAGGGTGATCATGTAGGCCTCGTTTGTCCTTAGGTGAGAGTAAGTCGTTAAAATCCCCCATGACACACTATGGGAGTGATGTGTCCAAAGCAATATGACGTAGAAGGTCCCATGAAGTTTTTCGATTGGCTCTCTCCGGGTAGCCGTAGAACCCTGTAAAGCGCCAGGCAGGGGTGTTAGGTAAAGAGATGACAACATTTATGAAATTCTGAGCATAGTTGATGAGAGTGCATTGAGAAGGCTTCTTCCAGAATAAGGCAAGACCACCACTCCTCCCAATGTTGTCCACAGCAAAGGAAGAATCAAATTTTAGTCAAGCACGTATCTCATCAATACGTATGGCATGTACGAATGTTTCAGACAAAAAGAGCACGTCCGGATGGTACTAACGGACGAGATCTAGCAGAGTAGGAACTGCACTCGAGTTGCCTAATCCCTGGAAGTTCCAGCTTATAAAACTCATTGGCCCTGCAGGTCGTGTTCCCAGGGCCTGCCCGTAAAAAAGGTTTGGAAAAAGTGGGAGTATCATCATCGTCTGGCCTTTGGTTGACAAGGTTTTGCTCATGCATGGGAGAG